TAAAGTGGACTCAATTTGCACTATTTCTGGCAGACTGCAAAGGCCCTATGACTATGTGGTAGATAAATGCTTGTTCTAAATACCTTAAAGGCACAAGATCCCATCTCATCTTGGAAGCTAAGTAGGGTCAGCACTGTTAGTACTTAGATGGGAGACCAGTTGCTGTAGACCTTATTTCAGAGGAAAGAACTAGCAAAACCACTTGTTGAATATTCATTGTCTAAGAAAACACTATGAAAAAGGCACCATAAGTCAACAGTTGACTTGAAGGCTTATACGCATGCAGATGGTTGCTTCTGGGATGGAAGGGAGGCCAATATGTATCTAAATATATTAGCAACTGTTTTTTAAAAAGCATCCCTAAAATCTGTCCAAAAACTGCCTTTGATAAAGAGGAATTATTGCTATGTGTCAGATATCATATAACTATATATAAATTTGCTATATAGAGATATCAATTATTTGTTTAAACACAATCCTGTCTATTTTCACAGTTGCAACAACTTTGTAAGATTAGCTGCTATTATTGTTCCTGTATACAGAGACCAGGGAATAATATTTTGGGATCATTTATAATAATGTAGACTTTCCTACTCACCCTTATTCAATGCAATCATACACATAAAGGTTTGGTTTGGCTTGTATGGGTAACCCAAGTGTTTGTCTGGTAGCTTCCCCACATCCTCAATGAGATTGGGGTTTTGTGGAGAACTACCTGACTGAAACTCACTTTTCTGGCAGAAAAAGGGAACTGAAATATTACATTCAAATGGAGAATATACACCCACCTTTATATGGAAGGTTAGAGAAACTTCCCCTGATTCTGCTTCATCTTCAGCCATTCTTCACATTCTGGAGAATAATATTCACTTTTCATCACAAGAATGAGGCATTTATTTTGCTTCCCTTTAACAAATGGAAAACCTGTGGCCCTCTAGATGCTGTTGGACTACAATTCCCTTCATGTCTCATCATGAGCTACACTGATAGAAATTTAAATCAACCACACTTGGAGGGCCACACAGTTCTCAGCCCTGTTTTAACACAATTGGCTAAAGAACTGAACATAAAAACAGCTGTGTGATCCTAGATATGTTTCCTCAGATGTAAGCCTCATTGAATTAGATGAGATATGAAACCCCTTGGAGAATGCTTAGGATTACATCTCCCTGGGAGAATAGCCTCAATTTGCCTTTCAGATGTCACAGAAACAATGTGGAACTGGGAAACACAATAAGCAAACTCACTTGCATTTTTAGTACATGAAATGTAAGAAAATATCCAGATGTTTGAGCTTCTTAAGATTATCATCAGCCCTTCAAGGAGCAAACTAATACAAGAATCCCACTGAGCTGTAAACTATGCTCCAGCCCCAAGAATCAAGAAGTAAATGAACTATCAGCAACATTAACCAACCCATGGGACATCCAGACCAGTGTTTTTAAACACCCTACTGGGACAAATACCTTGCTATGCAAACTCTATAACACGATTGTATGCCATATTGTTTTATCAAATTCAAGCTAACTTTAATTGCTTCCACAGCAATGTTCTGCTCTGTAAAGAAAGCAGTTGATTCTAGTGGATTTCTAACTGCCTTCCTAGGAATGTTGGGCTTTCGTGGAAACTTATCAGAGGTATCTTAATGAGAAAAGCAACCTATGGTTAATTTAACCTTCAAGGCAGTTTGTTTTGTCATTACTGGCCTTCACCTATGGTAGGTATCTTCAGGGAAACATTGAGTGTACACCTACAATGCATAGAGAAATAGGGCCAACAAGTCCCAGCTAGGATTACATGCACATTCAATGTCAAACTAGATGTTAATGTAAATATTTCCTATGATTAACCCTTTTGCCTCTGTCAGTGAGATTTCTTCAGAGATGCGTTAAATATTAAATCCATGTTTACCTCTCAATGAGAAGTCACAAAACAAAGCACATTAAATATAGGATACACAATTAAGGACAGCTACATACTATGACAAATGGATTTATTTATTTTTTTTACTATTTGTGGGAGCACTTAAAAATGCACTAAACATCGTAGGGTAAGGTTAACTCTAATCCCAGATGCAAAGGGGTTATCTGGTGAGCAATACCATTAAAGAATTCCCATAGTGTAGGAAGTCTGAAAATCAACTGAGAATATTGTTCCTAGCATCATTTACTTGAAAGCAAGAGTAAATAAGACATAACACTCCTACTAGAATAAATAAAACATACAGTGGGCCCCTGGTATCTGCAGGGGTTTGGTTTTAGGATCAGGATCACTACCACCCTGTGCATGCTCAAGTCCCATTAAGTAAAAACAATGGCATAGTAAAATGGTGTCCCTCATTAAAAAGATGGCAAAATCAAGATTTGCTTTTTGGATTTTGGGAGGCTATTTTCAAGTTGTGGATGGTTGAATCCATGGATGGTTGAATCTGTGAATATGAAGGGCTGACTGAACATCTAAGAAACCTGCCTAACTTCAGACTGCATTTCTTCTAATATCGACTTTCAGCCATACACATTTCAGTCATAGATTCTCCAGACAAATGGTTCCATGGATTTCTGAGACTTTTCAGCAGTCTCACAAAATTATTGTTCCTGGGTTCTTCAGTGAAAGGGAATCACAGTCACACCAGACTAATCTGATGCATACAGAAGTAAGCTCTAGTCTATTCTATTCAAAGAGGCATATTGCAAAGTATATATTAAAAGTCTTCAAAGCATGCTAGTTTAAAATTTTCCTGTAGCCTTTTTTGACCAAATTAAAACTGAGATTATCCAATTTCATGTTCTTGTGTGCACAAGACCGCTGCAATGCATCTCCCTCCTTACAAGTATGATGATGCAAGAAAGAAATAAGAATCCTATCCCTCACATGCCAGTCTTCTACTACAAACTGCAATGGCTATATTTTCTTTCCTTTTTAATCTGAAAGAAAATCACAAAATTACACACAGGCATGCACCACCATTTTATCTATAGCCGCTTGTCTCTCCTGCAAAGAGAGAGACAACTGTATTTCTTTGCTGCATTATTGTATTGCATATTCTGTTGTATTGTCCCATGTTGTTCTTGTTGTATGCCTTCAGTTCCAACTTATGGCAATCCTAAGACAACCCTATCAAAGGGTTTTCTTGACAAGATCTGTTGAGAAGGGGTTGCCATTGCCTCCCCTGAAGCTAAAAGATTGTGATTTGCCTGGTTGCCCAGAGGCTTTCCATGGCCGAGAAGGGGTTCAAACCCTTGTCTTCAGAGCTGTAGTCTAACAGTCAAACCACTGCACCATGCTGTCCAATATCCTGCATTTTTAAGGTTTTAATTTTATACCCTCCCTCTCTACACACACAGATTTGCATGTCCATGCAAGCATATGCACGCACACACTAACACAGAGAGTTAACACAAGGTAGCTAGTTTTACCCTATTGGAATTCCAGAGTAGGTCTTCCCCCCCCCATTGGGTTCCATGCAGTTATTTCCAAGTTTTTTAAGGGGTGGATCTAGATGACAGTTTAAATAACTGAGCTTTTGGAAGTCCCCATATTACTATTTACATACAGTGTGTATTGTGGCTATATCAATGGCACCTATGGCCTAGTGTAAGGGTATGTGAAGTGTGGTCCTCCAGATATTCCTGGACTGCAACTCCAAGCATTCCTCACCACTGACAACAGTGGCTAGGGCTGATGGGAGCTGCAGTTCAACAATATCTGGAGGGCCACACTTTCCCTACCTCTGGTTGAGTGTCTTCTAAATCACAAGATTTCACTACACTCAAATCCAGAAGCTATCTATCTTCCTTCCTTCCTTCCTTTGATCATGTGCTGTGCGTTTCCTTTCTCTCTAGCACGGGAGTGAATTTGCAAGCTTGAAACAAAACCTGGTTACTATAGGAGGCTATAGGAGCTCTCTTTGCAAAGAAATAGTTAAATGAAACATTCCCAGCACCACCATGTAGGTGCCTAAGATAAAAGGGGTGGGTGAAGTTTCCCTGCATAGCTATCCCCTTTATAAAAGGCTAGCCATTTTGTGGGGACTAGATAGTAATATGTAATTGACACTGCAGGATGAACACTGATATATCAACAACAACAACAACAACAACTTTGATTTTTGTTGTTTGGAGATACACTCCATTTTTTTCTTTCTAAGTTTTTCCTCCCTTTCCATTACTGACTTTTGAATGCTGATTTTGGTATGGGATTCTTAGATGCACACATTTTTCAAACATTTTGTTCATAAAGTGAATAATTCAGCTTGTGAGGATTGTGTAGGTTACTCTATTCTGTAGGAAATATTGAATAAAGTGCTGAAATTCCCAGAAGCTATGAGTGACTTAGGGGGGATGCAGACCAGGGCGTCGGGGATGCCCTGGGACGGTGCGCCACTGAAGCGAGGCACTCGCACGGCGGTGCACCGGCGGTGTCCCTGAAAGGAGCCCCAAATTGGCACTCCTTTCAGAAGTCAGGGAAAGTGCACCCTAAATGCGTAGGGTGCACTTTCCCTGACTTTTCCGCCGCAGTGTGTGAGGACGCTGCAGCGGGAGGTTGCCCTGGGAGCGCTGGCCGTGCGGAGGGCCGGCAGCTCTGAGGGCAACCTTGGGAGGAAGAAGGGGCACCGCTTGTGCGGCTGCCCCTCCTCTTCCCTGCCTCCAAGACGACTTTATTAGTCATCTGCCGAGACTGTTAGTGAGGCAATAGAAATGAATATGGTGTTACTATAAGAAACACACGACGGTATCTCCAACTTAACAATAAATTAATAATAGATAAATTGGAAGTTAGAAAAGTAAATTTTCAGTATTCGGTATTCCAGCAATTTTTCCAAAATCTGGAATAAATATGATTCCCACTCCACCCCCAATAATTCCCCATAGCATTCTAAAAAATTTTACAATTATAGTTAATAAAACTTAAATCTATATTATTAACTGTAAAATTATAGTTAATAAAAATTAAATCTGAGCAAGTCAAAGCATCTTTCTCTTCACTGTTAGAAAAACCCACATAGATATATTTAAAATTCAGTTCCAGCTCTCCTACTTTATGGCTGATAAACTACAATTTATCTTGTATTGGAAATTCATAACATACTTTCTTTAGCTATTGGGTTGCAAACAGAGGTCATATAATCTGAAATAGATTTTTTTTAATGTAATCAAGAATGTGAAAGCCAGCATTATACACATTTACAGATTGGCTCTTTTAGAATCAATTATGCCCTAAAAATTGTTACATGAGGCAACGTGTTCTTTAAATCTTCACAAAAGTATGAAGTGCATTTGTAGCCATGGAATAACAATAATTATGAAGGCTGGAACAATTTTTTATTTTTTCTTCAAAAGACATTAAGTTCTTCTAGCATGTACTCAGAGAGGGTCAAACATGCAATTTTCAATGGCAGTTGTGCTTTTAGCTCTCCTCTGCCTCTTCAAAGGCTACAAGAAGTTATCCGTATGTCTGAAGTAATAACATTTTCCTCTTCCCTTCCCTTGTTCCTTATCTTTTATTTCTATTGGCAGGTGGCAGAGACATGTGCAACGTTTGTAATATCACAATGACATAAGTCACATTAGATGGCTGTGGATAGGAAGTAACAAGGAGTCAGATGTGCATGTGGCATTTTTGGTAACAACTACAAGTTAAATCATCATCATCATCATCTATTTATTTGTATGCTGCTTTTCCACAAGATTGTATTAAAAGAACTCACAGCATATGCACATGAACAGAAATACAATTAACAGGGGAAAAAACCAGAAGTATTATTACAAATAATACTATAGTGCCAATAACAACAACAACTTATTCAATACTTTTAATGGATCTCTGGCTGTGTCTACACTGTAAAATTAATGCAGTTTGACACTGTTTTAACTGCCATGGCTCAATGCTATAGAATTCTGGGATTTGTACTTTTGTGAGATATTTAGCCCTCGCTGTCAGAGAGCTCTGGTGCCACAAGATACAAATCCTAAGGTTCCATAAGATGGAGCTTGACACTGCCTTAATTCTTTAGTGTGGCAATAGTCTCTATGGGTCTTTCTTTGAGGACTGAAGCTGGCATTCTGTATTACAGATTCATAAACTAGAGTTATGGATCCATAACTGCTCTGTATTCAAGAAAGCTACATGTTTGTGATCATGGCACTATTGCTGTGCACCCTAAACCATAGAATCATAGAATCATAGAATCATAGAGTTGGAAGAGACCACAGGGGCCATCCAGTCCAACCCCCTGCAATGCAGGAACTCCCAATCAAAGCATCCCTGACAGATGGCCATCCAGCCTCTGCTTAAAGACCTCCAAGGAAGGAGACTCCACTACTCTCCGAGGGAGTGTGTTCCACTGTCGAACCGCCCTTACTGTCAGGAAGTTCCTCCTAATGTTGAGGTGGAATCTCTTTTCTTGCAGCTTGCATCCATTGTTTCGGGTCCTAGTCTCTGGAGCAGCAGAAAACAAGCTTGTTCCCTCCTCAATATGACATCCCTTCACAAGCAGCCACACCAAGTGATGAAGGTCTGTTCAGCTGGCATCGCAAGAGGATGGCATTTCCAGCTACCTGTCACCAGCAAGTGAGGATGTGAAAACCAGAAGTAGGATACCTGGTGGAAGAAGACTGTAAAGTGATCCTCCTGCATCCTCATTGCTGGCTGAACAGCCCTCAAACACTCAGAGCAGCTTCTGGCTATTTGGGATGTTGGGCCAGGAGATGTTACTTAGAGCCTTTGCAGACTACCAGAAATAGTGCACATTAAATTGAGGCACTGCCCTGGCTCAGTGCTAGGGAATCATGGGAATTGTATTTTTTTCTGAGACATTGAGCCTTCTCTTTCAGAGAGCTCTGGTGCCACAATAAATTACAGTTCCCATGATTCCCTAGCACTGAACCAGGGCAGTGCCTCAATTTAATGCGCATTATTTCTGGCAGTCTGCAAAGGCCCTTCATTTTGCAAAGTAGGCAATATATGATACCAGTGTGGGGTTTTAAGGACATCACTGTGGAAACTGAGTTTTACTGTGCCCATATCAGACAGAAGTATCCATCTAACCCAGACCAAACATGATTTCCCAGTTTGACTGAATTATTTGGTAAGGCAATGGTTAATAATACCTGGACACTGCTGCAAATCTAAATGTTAAAAGTACTTTTTATGGACCTTTTTTTGAATTTATATCTGTGATTTACAATCATAAAAAAGGGAATGAATGGAATGAGGCCATTATATAGTGTGTTGTAACCATCCTCAATAACTTTCTGTGTACACAACCAATCCGGTGGTAAAAGCCGATGGTACGATATGGAGCCAAATGTAAACACACTCTCATGATTTTGATTGTCATGTCATGAAGAAGGAGGCAAGTTAATGCTGGTGAGACACTGAAGCCCTGATATCATAAACAAAAGCTAACTGTAACTATAACTGGTTTGGCATCTCATCCCCTGCTGAAAGATGAGGCTTCTTCCCCCACTACCACTTGGACCATGGGCCGCCATGCTGTTAACTTACCCTTTCTCTTCATTGAGGTATGGCTTTCTTTGACAAGTAGAACTGAGTTGGAAAGTCTCCAACTCCACATAGACTAGAGATACTGCTACAGCATCAAGTGTCAACATGAAGGACTGAATTGACACTTATTGGCATATACAGGCTGAGTATCCCTTATCCAGAATTCTGAAATCCAAAATACTCTAAATTCCCAAACTGTCCACATGGATGGCTTAGACAGTGACACCTTTTCGTTTTGATGGTTCAATGTACACCAACTTGGGGGCCTTTGCAGACTGCCAGAAATAGTGCAATTGAGTCCACTTTAACTGCCCTGACTCAGAGAAGGCTCAATGTCTCAGAAAAAATACAATCCCATGATTCCCTAGCACTGAGCCAGGGCAGTTAAAGTGGACTCAATTTGCACTATTTCTAGCAATCTGCAAAGGCCCTTAGTTTCATGCATAAAATTATTAAAAATATTATGTATAAATTTACCTTCAGTCTATGTGTATAAAGTATATACAAAAAATAAATGAATTTTGTCTTTAGATTTAGATCCCATCTCCAAGATTACTCATTATGTCTATGCAAATATTTCAAAATCCAAAAAATAATAATCCAAAATCCAAAACAGTTCTGGTCCCCAGCATTTCAGATAAGTGAGACTCAACTCTATACAAACCTCAGATAGAGATGTTCCATATCACTTCAGACACAATGCTTTCCCACGGAGTCAGTTTATACACTGAGCGGAGACTCATTGAGTATTAAGAAATTAAGTGTGCCCACGAATGTGTGAA